TAATCCTAGTTAAACACACACACACACACACACACACACACACACACACACACACAGGCTGTTCAGTCTCTGCACATTTCCAGCCTTCCTTGGAACAATCACCTGGAGGACTGTCAAATTATCCAGCTATAATCTAATTGGTGACGACTGCTTAGTCCCTTTGCACCAAAGAACTTGTATCTAGCAAGCTTCTTTCTTTCAGACATTTGTTAGTTCATTAAAGATGTTATGCTAGAGGTAAGATACGATGCTTCTGAGAAAGAAATAAAAGACCAGGACAAAAGACAAGTTGAATAGTCAAAGATGAGCTATCACATTCAGAGAAAGCAAACTATAGCACCTGATTTGATTGAATAACTGGTGATAACATTGGCTTTGAAGTTTTTGCAAATCTGTTTAAACTTTTTCACAGATGGAATGAATAAAAATTATGAGGCATTGATATAAAAATAGCCATTTTTGTCTTCCTTCCTAGATACCAGTATACCTTCCCTTTCTTCTTTTTGTCATTTTTTTTCTTTGGCTGGCTCCTTCCTTCTATCCTTCCATCACCAGTCTTTTCTGACTGGATAAATTCCTCGACTTCTTATAGAAGTTTACCTGAATTTAACACAGGTGATCGCCACAGATGCAATCACTTGTTGCAACGAGATCAAAAAACATTTTTTTTTCTCCTACCACAAAGCTATGGTAGAGGAACAGGTAAAGCTACATCAGCAGGTCTTAAGACACCTTGTCCTTGTGATCTGGTTCTGTCACTTTGCTGAGAAGCTTCCCCATGGTAATATTTACTAAGCATGTATGTGATGGTAAATAACAGAATTAATTCACTCTGTTATCCATCAAGCATATATTGTCTTTAGTGCTAATAGTACAGCTATGGGAATTACCATATCTTTATTTTTCTTTTGTTTATTATAACTGAAGCAGTTTCTGTTTTCTTTTAATAATGTAAATGTTTGAAAGTCATAAGTCACACATTACTGCATATTCTTTCTCAGCAGTTATGCCTTTACTGCTTTATTTACTGATGGAAAAAAAAAGAAAGGATAAAAACTATAAAAATAATGATAAAATATAAAATCTATAATATTTTAAAATTGTGTATTTATTTTAAAGATTTAATCTCTTCAAAAGTGAATTAAAGTGAATTCATATAAATAGATATCAAAGTGTTTTAGGAAGTAGTCATAAAGAAGACACTTAGAAATATTGCAAATATTTTGTAATATTGGGCAATATGTTCAAGAATTTGACAGTGAAATCCCTTGGCTGCATGAGCCCGTTTTCTGTTCCTGATGCTTATATTTTCTCCTAGAGGAAGAAAGATTAAAAAAAACAAAACAACAACAAAAAAAAGGGTCTTGTTTTTAATCCTCTGCATTGTGTTTTAGGGAGTGGAATAGTTTCTCTCATTGAGAGATAAGGGTAACCACAGTTTCAGAAACCAGTTACTCCCTGAATGTATGTCCCTTGCAAATCTTGTAGCAACTGACAAATCTCCTAATGGAAATGGAAACTAATTAATGTCTCCCTACCATGCAAAAAATGTGGGCATATGTTGATGAAGGTAACTAAATCCTACAGAATTTGCATGACTTGCTTGTTAAATCTCAAGTAATGTAATATAAGTGAAAGCCAAGGCCCATTTTCTGTTGTTTTCCTACCCAGCTGGTTATTTACTAAAGTTGGACCTGTTTGTTTTGTTCTCTAAGTGTAGCCTGTGCTATGAGCCTGTGTAATTCCTGGTCGTTGGATGCAGAATTTGGGTTTCTGGAACTGGCACACTAGGATTAGCTGGCCTACTGCAGGAGGCCCCTGGCCTCTGACTGTGGTGGGATGGAGCAGCACCTCAGTGTGTGTGACCTCTACCAGCGAAGTGCCTGCCTGGCTCACTGATACCACTCACAGTAACCTGAATGACTGGTTATTCTGGTCAGGAGAAAATAGCACTGACATCATGTGATTCTGGCAAAGTAAACCACATTGGAACTTGGCCTCTGAATACCCAAGGGGCTGGCAGCAATCTCAGGGGTTGGCTGGGAGCCCCATTGAGTTCACTAGTAATCAGTTGACTGCTGAGCTGGACAAGCTGCCCTAGTTTTTCTGACAAGCTCTGTCTAAAAGAATGATGGGCAGTCTGCCATTAGGATTTTTTAGCAGAGTTGCTAAAGATTAACTCTTTAACTATTGTACATATATCATGTCCTTCGTTATGTGTTGGTATGCAATTAGATAAAACCTTGGAGGGAAAGTTCTAATTCCTCATTCAATTACTGCACCCGGAATTCCTCTCTTGCACAATGAGCACCCAAAGGCAAGGAAAAACACTTTAAAGCCCTTTATATGTATGTTTCAAAGGAATGCCAGTGGACTGGTTTTCCTTGAAGTTTGTAGTTTGTTTTAAACAAAATGCGATAATCTTTAATTATATAAAATGTCAGATGTTGCATCCTATCCATATCTTGGAAAGAGATGTCACCTAAAAGAAGTCCTGAAAAGCTAGGAGCATTTAATACTTATTTATTATGACATGTATTCATGCACATTCCTCCCCCCGCCCCCCCAAAAAAAAACCCTTTTACCCTTTTATTCTCAGAGTATACCTTCAAAAAGAGGTATTTGCAGCCCATTGGCATAAGTCTAGGAAAACCAATTCCTTTGGAGAAAGCAAACTTTTCAGTGGGCTTATCTGGTTGTTTTTTATTAGAAAAGGTGATACCTTAATAACTTTTATTCCTTTTGCCATGTGGTTAAAATATAATGGATGGGGTTACACAGTTTGATAAAAACGTTCTGTATGCTGTATTCCCAGCAATGGATTTGACATGTTCATTCTTGCTTCATACTGGAATTTGCCCTAGGCACACTCTCTTTTCTATAGATAGCTATGACAGTGGCGGTTGGACACCCAAGTTCTATGGTTGTTCTTCAGAGCTCCTATGGACGATTAGTTTGTGGTAGTGATGGTGGGGCTTTGGCGACAGGTATGTGCTGTTTATCTTGGTACACGATGGAGTGTTTTCATGGAAAAAGCTAAGGTTTCATACACCTTTCTTCCTGTGAAGCAGATTATTCATTATGTCTTTGATCTTTCCTTCCAAGAAATCACATTTGAAGAATGATTCAGTTGCTCTCTCCTGTTTAAAAGTTTTGTGACATTAGCAACCTGGGGACCATATTGTCCATTAGAGAACTTACATAAAGGAAATAGATAACACAGGTACTGATTGATTGATCTATCTATGAATGAAACATGTTTTTGTTTACTGGCTTGGGGAGGGGAGTCAGTACAGATATCCACAAAACTTTTCCTATTCTTCATGGTTTAGGAATTTTTCTACCTGTGCATCCTGTGAGGACTGCAGGCATTACCATTGTATTGCTAAACTCTCAATTATCCTAAGAAAGGGCTTAGGGGAGGGTAAGGGGTTCTGGAATGACCTTCCCCCCTTCTTCCCTTCTTTCTTTCCTTTCCTGCCTCGTCCCAACTTCCTCATTCTCTTCTCTCCCCTTCCTTGCTCTGTCTCTAGATTTTCTCCCTTGGTACTTATGGAGCACTTATTATTGCAAGGCAATGCCAGTGATACGCCCAATCAGTGATAGTTGTCCACTGAAGTAGCTTATAAGTCAGTGTGTGAGGAATGTCTCAGACCAGAGGATCATACAGAAAATGAACATGCAGAATGAACTATAGTGGCCACTGGTTTTATGAAAAGACCCATGATGTTGTAAGAATGTAAAATGGGAGCATCTTATAAACCTATGAAATTTCTGGGTAATGCCATTTCTTGGCAATACGTAAGAAAACCAGGAAATTAGATCTGAGGCTTCATATCAGTTCCACAACTTACTATTTTAATTTGGAGAAACTTTTTAAGACTTAATTTTCTTATCAGTAAAATAGGGATGATAATAATAATTTCCCCCATTTTTGACTAAAAATCTTAAATTTGAAACATTTATTTGACATATATAAGAGTTTAACAAAATATCCCTTATTGTCATTAATGCTACAATTCACTGAGATGTACAAGTTGTCTTATGTTCATGTCCTGATGTCACTGAAAATCTAGTTTTGAGCATGCCTTAGATTCCAGGATCTATTTGCCAAAATATTATTAAAAGCTTAGGAACAATTCCTCAAGAAGGGTCTACAGTAACATGGGACACCTCCATAGTTTTACCCACTAAGTTAGCAAATATTTTTAATAATCCAGTGAGGTTTCTTGAAAAATGCTGATTTGTTTAACTTTCTTAACTTCTTTTTGTTTATTTCAGAGGTCTTTGGACCATTGGAAAGTATCAAATTCTTACTGGCATTTGGGTTATATATTAATTGCAGGTGGTAGAAACTGAAATGAAGCCGAGTGAAGTGAGAAAGGGAAATTACAGGCTGATGTAATTTGAAAGTCCAGTTTACCTTCAGGTGCAGCTTGACTCAGATGTTGTATTATGTAATTAGGAATGCCTCTCTGGATCTCTTTCTATGTTCTCTTCTTTGTTACCTACCTCTTAGACCTATAGGTGCTCTTTCCACAGTGATGAGTTCCACAATTACATTCTATTAGCTGACCAACCCCAGTGGGGGTGGGAATGTTCTCTTTCTCTGCAGTTCCAGCCAGAATTTCTGCGCTGGCTCTCATTGGGCCTCTCCTGAACCCGCCCCTGGATTGACGCACTCCCATTGGCGGAGACCAAGTCCCCTGCCCCCTTTTGGAGCTAAAGGATAAGCGCAAGGAACCCAAACTCTATGATGTTAGAAAGTGGCTCCCAGAAGAAAAATAATGTGTTATTACTGCAAGAAAATAATAGAAATTGTGTGACAACACCCAAATAAACAAATAGGCACATATTCACTACAGATAAAAAATCACAACCACCCCAGATCCTGTTTTTAGTTTAGGTAGGAGTGAAACTGTTAACGAGGTGACATTGAAGCATGCAGAGTACCTACTAATTACTGAGTTTTGACTGTATGCCAGGCATTGGGCCATGTACTTTTGTATTTTATTTCTGATCTTCACAATAATCCTACAAGGTAAGTATTAAAATGCTTTTGCAGAAGAGGAAGCTGACAACTACTAAAATTATATAACTTGTTGAAGTTACCCAGCAGTGGGTGATGGGGGCAGCCATTAGTTACTGGGTTGCCATGTTGCCCTGCAGCAGTGCCCATGCCGTTTCAGATGACCTGGGCACGAGGCAGTGCAAAGACTTGTCCCTCAGGCTACCTGACTGGCATATTTTCCTGTTGGAAGTGGAATAGGCTTCTTTTCCAGGACAGGGTTTTGAAAGACAGAACTTTAGAATCCTAATCTGGGTATACTCACTGACTCACCCTAATTTACTAGATAGCCAAAAAAAAAAAAAAAAAAAAAAAAAAAAAA